CCTCTTTACTGAAAAAAAAAAAAATTGGAAAAGTATTATTTCTGATGAAATTTTTCAAAGTCCTGATATTCATATTTCCTCAAATATCTCGAGAACGGCACAAAATATCGAAAATCTGAATCAAAAAATACCCCAACACTCCTGTTGACTTCCGCAACGACCTACCACATGGAGAAAGTCCAAACATTATATCACGAAAAATAAAGAAAAATGTACGACGTCATGAAGCGAATTAATTCTAAGTTCATTGAAAAAAAAAGTGAGCGACAATTGTATGTTTTTTGCCCAAAATTCGATTGAAATCAAGACGATCAACGAAAAATTCTCTATACATTTGAACTCAGAATTGCCTCTTTTCTGGAAAAAAAATTGGAAAAGTAATATTTTTGATGGGATTTTTTCAAATCCCGATATTCATATTTTCTGAAATATTTCGAGAACGGCACAAAACATCGAGAATATGAATCGAAAAATACCCCAACACCCTTGTCGCTTTTCGCAAAGGACTACTACATGGAGAAAGTTCGAACACCGTATCACGAAAAACAAAAAATTTAGTACTACGTCATGAGGCGAAATAATTCAAAGTTCATTGAATAAAAAAGGTGAGAGACAAGTGTATGTTTTGTCGCCCAAAATTCGATAGAAATCAAGACGACCAACAAAAAAGTCTTCATAATTTGTTACTCAAAATTGCCTCTCTACTGGAAAAAAAAATTGGAAAAGTATTATTTTTGATGAAATTTTTCGAAGTCTCGATATTCATATTTTCTCAAATATCTCGAGAACGGCACTGAATATCAAAAATTTAAATCGAAATATACTTCCGCATAGGCCTAGGACATGGAGAAAGTCCGAACACCGTTTCACGAAAAACAAAAAAATTAGTACGACGTCATGACGCGAAATAATTCTAAGTTCATTGAAAAAAAAAGAGGCGAGTGACAATTGTGTTTTTTGCCCAAAATTCGATAGAAATCAAGACAACCAACGAAAAAGTCTTCATAAATTGTTAATCAGAATTGCCTCTTTCTGGAAAAAAAAATTGGAAAAGTATTATTCCTGATGAAATTTTTCAAAGTCCCGATATTCATATTTTCTCAAATATCTCGAGAACGGCACTAAATATCGAAAATCTGAATCGAAATATACCCCAACACCATTGTCGACTTCCGCATAGGCCTACCACATGGAGAAAGTCAGTTCATTGAAAAAAAAAAGGTGAGTGACAATTGTATGTTTTTCGCCCAAAATTCGATAGAAATCAAGACGACCAACGAAAAAGTCTCTATACATTGGTACTCAAAATTGCCTCTTCACTGGAAGAGAAAAATTGGAGAACTATTATTTCTGATGATATTGTTTTAAGTCCCGATATTCATATTTCCTCAAATATCTCGAGAACGGCACAAAATATCGAAAATCTGAATCGAAAAATACCCCAACACTCCTGTCGACTTCTGCAACGACCTACCACATGGAGAGAGTCCGAACATTATATCACGACAAACAAAAAAAAAATGTACGACGTCATGACGCGAACTAATTCTAAGTTCATTGAAAAAAAAAAGGTGAGTGACAATTCTATGTTTTTTGCCCAAAATTCGATAGAAATCAAGACGATCAACGAAAAATTCTCTATACATTCTTACTCAAAATTGCCTCTTTTCTGGAAAAAAAAAGTGGAAAAGTAATATTTTTGATGAGATTTTTTCAAGTCCCGATATTCATATTTTCTGAAATATTTCGAGAACGGCACAAAACATCGAGAATATAAATCGAAAAATACTCAAACACCCTCGTCGACTTTCGCAAAGGCCTACTACATGGAGGGAGTTCGAACACCGTATCACGAAAAACAAAAAAATTTGTACGACGTCATGACGCGAAATAATTCAAAGTTCATTGAATGAAGAAGGCGAGTGACAAGTGTATGTTTTGTCGCCCAAAATTCGATAGAAATCAAGACGACCAACGATATAGTCTTCATAAATTGTTACTCAAAATTGCCTCTTCACTGGAAAAAAAATTGGAAAAGTATTATTTTTGATGAAATTTTTCAAAGTCCCGATATTCATATTTTCTCAAATATCTCGAGAACGGCACTAAATATCGAAAATCTTAATCGAAATATGTTCGGTATTCGCGTGTTCTGTTCAATTTCTGATGATGCATAAATTATTATCATTAATTATCAATTATTGATTACTCATTTCGTAAAATATCAGTTACAAGATTTCCCCCTTTATAACATTCTCGGCAATACCGATGAGATGGCGATGGATATTTCCATGCCATTGGGTTGGAGTGTCAGTGTCAACGAAAAATATCATTCTCGACATCAATATTCTCCCATCGAGATCAAGTGTTATATTCGCACCCAATAGCTGAAAGCAAGCAGAGTTCGAACCCCAAACGGAATTACCTGATGCCCATTCGCTGCAGCTAGAAGAAGCTAATCCATAGAACCTGCCGGAAGAAAGGTAAGGATTTCTTGTAATCTGTCGGTAACTTTACTTAGCATACTCAGACATAAATTGGTCCTTCTAGCCGGATTTGAAGGTTCCTGACCTGATTTGTGGATTCATAATAATTTAGGCATGATTAGTGACTACTTGTGCAGCATACCTGATGCTATAACACGCGAATCACGACATATTCTATATCTTGATTAGCCGAAAACTCAAGTATAAGCAAACTCTCTGTATTGCTCTGTGCATCTGATTGAAGTTATTTTGGCTCGAGTAATTAGACTACTGAGTGTTCACCTCATATCAAAACTAGAAATTGAGCTATGGCATCGGACGCAAAAAAACTGAAACAATTGATTGCTCTAAGATCTACTGAGGTAATAGAATTAAATGAAATAAAGATGGTAGCTGAGTTATGTCTTGGAGATCGATCTTATCACAATAATTTCAAGTGCAGATCTAAATTGCTAGAATCAATTTATGAAACATTCAATAAACATCACTCATCTATAATTTCTTTAGTATCCGCACAGGAAGATGGTGATCTAGCGCCCCAAAATGAGATTTTCTCAATTTTCGAAAATGATAACTTTGATTGCCACGCTATATATATGCAGCTTTTTGATGATATTCACCACTCTACACTGAATAACCTTGAAACGACAGCATCTAGCTCACCAAAATGTAAAACTTCCTAGAATTGAACTTCCAA